TGTGCCCTTAAGGCAGTGTTCAGTTCTTTTTTCCTCTTTCCATTGCCACTGTGCCATTAAGGCAGTGTTCAGTTCTTTTTCCTCTTTCCATTACCCATTGTTCATTTTCTTTGTCTCCCTTTTATCTTTCCATTACCATTGTGTGATCATGGAGGTAGAAATAGTCATGATGTGATATGGTAGGCTTCATGGAATGGTAATAGCGCCCTCTATGGTTGCTCAGCATTTTATAGCGGAGCCTCCATCTGATGCAGCAAACACAACGGAAATTCCTCTTGCCAGGATTGCTTGGAGAAAACATATTAGAAATCTTCTATATTGCCTTGATGTTACTTTGTGCACGTGTCTCTGACATCAATGTATGGCCTCAACATCATCTTCAATACACATGTACATGAAAGACAACTTACAGTCACTGCAGAAGACAGACTTCTCCTGGATGGACAGCACATTTCTTCCACTCTCACTACCATCTCTGCTTCTATCCACTTGCCAACAAGTGCCCAAACAATAACAAAAAAGTTAACTGGACTGGAGATAGAAAGGCCTTATTTCTGTCAATTAATATGAATGATTCCACAGCCATTTTCACAATTACAAGCACAGTATATAACCCTAACTGTTCAGGGTTGTTTGGCTAGAAACCCTGCCAGACACATCAGTCTGCATTATTTGTCAAAGTCATTTGCTTGCCTAGTGTAACAAGATCCTACAGGTCAACTCTCCCCAAGGCCAAACAGCCTGGGAGTCCGTGGTTGCCAACCACCACAAGATCCAACAGCAGCATTGTTCAGTGAGACCAGCTGCTATTGTCTTAACATGACCAGCTAGTTTGGCTGCTGTTGATTGCACAGTGCATCAAAATAGCGCATCAAACTTTTACATCTGCTGCAGTATGTTACATCTGGCTCGATTAGGGTCAAGGTCAGTATTTGCAAAGTGATACATGCAGTTTTCACCACTGTTTTAAACTCCTCCTCTAAAGGTTGTAGACTGACCATCTTGCTTGAACCTTCATCAGTGTTCCAAAGTAGACACGACAATATGGGGCTTGATCTGTGAAATTAAAATAATCATACAATGATTCAACTAAATTAACCATTCATAATAAAAATTGTGTTTTCATAAATTACAAGACATGTATTCATTTTTATGTTGTTATTTTCTAAGGAGCAGCAAAAAAACTATTCAAAGATTCAAAATTGTGGTTTTCATCAGTAAATTTGGGGGGATAATATACCCCAAGACAGATTTACCAGCGGTTATAGTCTCAGCTAGAAAATAGTTATCATCATGTCTACAAAGTGTATAACATCCAGCACTGTGCAGTCTCTTTAGTTTTTAATTTAGGTCTCTGAGACAACAGAAATTAATACACAACCTTTATTTTTACTGGCCCTATGAATTTTTTTCGTGTAAAGTATAAGGGTGGACTCATAAAAGCAATACGTCACTGTACTTACAAGTACTCCATATCATGTAGGTGTGCCAGCAGTTCCTCGGAGACTTATTTCTGACGTGTTGTCTTGATGATACACAAAGTCACGAAAATAAATGGATTAAAGCGGCCACCGTGCGCTACACATGCGCGCGAGTGCCACCGCACCCACATGTTGTTTGCAGTGTGTCTGTCCACAGTTGGTCTGTCATTATATCCGTGTTCTGTAAATATGGTTTTCGATATGCAAGTGCGAGTTTTGCGTCGAGACATCATGCATGGGAGTGCCTCACCCACTCCAGTGCAGGGTCAGCGTATTTTAGTCGCAACGTGATTTCAAATGTGACACTCGAACTCCATTCTCACTGTTCTCACTGTTTGGATTGTACCTTGTAACTGTTGTTGAATGTTTCACCTCTTCAAAATCAGACTTCTAAGAAATTCGTTGCGCATAGCCTTTGTACTTTCTTCCCCACTTGGCGAGCTCGATTTTCAGACTTGGTACTTAATACATTTGTTTAGTGACTTACCCTGAACAAGCCGCATGCTGTGACTTGAAAAAGGACTCCACAAAAGTTCAGCAAATCAAAAATACGTTACGGCAATAGTATAATCGCAAGAGTGATAATTAGAAAACTGGATAAAATACACAGCTCAAGACAAGTAGTAATCTTAATCACGCAGAAAGTCATGGACAGTGCGGCAGAAAAATATCCATGTTCATATTAAACTGTAAGATTTATTGAAAACCCAGCGACATTCGCCAGGGACGTTAATCAATAAAATTTCAAAGCTTTTAAAATAATCGGTAAATCTTTTCTTAAAGGTCCATTTTGTGCAACAGTGGTGTCTCTTTAAAGTAATGCACACAGAAAAACCTGACAAACGATATGCCGATACACACAGGCAACATTTCTGAAAAATGCCAATGAAGAGAGCCTTTCATGTGTAAGTACAATCTATTTGATGTTTTCTCATCATTGAAGTGATTCCGATCTTTGAATTTGGAGGCTTCAACAGGACGTCATCATCCTACAGTTCTTGTCCTCATTTCCCTCCACCTCAATGTCCATTCTTGAACAACTAACAGTCCTCCACACAGGCTTTGCTCCACGGCTCGTGAAGCATCTTGCCATCTTAATTGTCAAAGCTTCCAACCACATTTTTATTAAAGCACACCATAACTGCATATTGCACTTGATTGGGTAATTGCAACTTTGAGACTTGCTTGATCCTATATATATGTACCTGTAGATTCAATGAAAGTCCAACAGTTCATCCCAAACTATGACGATGACTGACGTATCAGTTCAATATAAGGTTGTTAAGAAGGTTATGTTTTCAAAATAACCTTCTGCTTTTTATGTGTAAAATTCAATTTCAGTGGGCTCAACATCTGGCCAAGTAGAAAAAAGATACAAGAACATATTTACACACAATCATTCATCCTGCTCAGTAACTTGTACACATGGTAGTGGACACACATCTCTCCTTAGGATAAAGGATCCTGAAGATTATTCAGCGCTGCACAAACAGCGACAACATCATCTATGTGAGGCAAGAGACTGCTTTCAAACATGCTGGTAAGAATGCTGAATGATCTCAGTCGCTGTGCCATCCTTCTGGCATAGGCCCTAAAGGCGACAGTGTCTGGAGTGTGTTCAGACTTCGGGCAAAATGCGGGTTCTGGAGTGGAAGATGGTGCTCCTGGTTCTGGAAGGCCATCAACAGACTCTTGAAGGCCATCAACAGATCCCAGAAAGCCATTGCCTATGGATCCATCGGGTACAGACAGCTCCATGAGGTCTGACTGAGCAGCAGCTTCTGTCATCTCACATAGCTCCGACAATTTTGTCGATATTGAATTGCACGGTCTAGGCACCCCTTTAGAATGAGGATGAGTGAGGATGTCCGAACTAGGATCTTCCTGCCACGGAATTGTGCAGGAAGTATATGGTGGAGACAGCACACTGAATCCTTTAGATCTTAGAACCCTATAAAGATGCTTATCTTGCTGAAGGAGAAGTACTCGGCTATCTTTTTCACAAAAATCAGGCAATCTCAAATTGGCAAGCCCATCACTAACTGTGGTGCAGCAAGTAAAGGCGTTAGATACAGCGCCAATGCTGCCATTTGGATACAGCCCTACAAGGATCTTGACAGCACCCGTGCCTTCCTCCTTTGACAGCATCTCGGGTTGGTGCTCTGGAGAAGGCCACTCTGTTTGGATAATCAAGAAGTCAATGACAACCCTCAATCCTGGAATACGTCTCCAATGGCTTTCCTGTGGCAGCGAATCTTCCAAGCTACCAGACGGCCACCGGACTAAATCTGAGAGGAGCCCGACTAGGGTGGCCAAAACGTGAGAGAAGATGTTGCTGGCAGTGGGAGCTGTAATACCAAACACAGTGGCGAGGAACTCAAATGGCACATTCATTTTGAGCTTCATGAGAAACAGGAGCAGACAGTTGTGGGAGGGCAGTCCAGGCATGACTTCCGGGAGTTGATCTAGAAGAAGATCAAAGACTTCTGGCGTAACCCCTGTGACCCTCCTGACAGTGGTCTCCGAGAAGCAGATATCATTCCATCCATGGAATCCAAAACACCTGCCTCGAGTCTGTAGGGATGAGGTGTTCCAATCAGCAAGACTGGCCACACTCAAGACAGTTTGTGTTTCTTTAGACTGGTGCATCGTCAGCAAGTTAGACAGGATGCAGTTGTGAGGTTGCGTACCCGTTGTCGCATTCTGCTCCAATGGAGAAGCGGACGCATTTAAGGCCCTGGCCCTGTTCAAATCGACACTGCCTACTGCTCTAGTAAAGTGTCTTATCTGTACATTCCTGGGGTGCTTAGCTACACTAAGGTTTCCTGATGACTTGCGGCTTGTTGGCACCGACTTCTGCAAGCGCATTGGACCCTGTGGCTTATGACTGGCGTGAAGTAATCTCCTCTTTCTGAATCCGGGCTCATGGCTGCCACAAGCTGCATTCACTGCACTGCCCAAAGTCCTAGACTGCTTGATGTACAGCCATCCATGAGTACTATCCACTGACAAAGAACCATCCTTTACTAACTCATCTTGTGCACTCAGTTGACCGCCGGATATAAACTGACAATTGCCGTCAAGCTCATCGCTAGTGGTAACACCTGAGGCAGTCTTAACTCTTGAGGGACTTTCTTGATTGGCGGAGGTTAGCTGGTGGCAATCGGCCTCTTGAGCACCATCTGTGCTCGTTAAGGGACCATTTATTCGTTCATGATTTGACTTCAAAGCATCTTTTTCAGCCTTCACTGCCTGGGCGTACTCTTCTCCTGCTTCTTTGGACAGATCCAACGCTGCTGACACATACTTCATGAGGTCGTCATTTTCATGCCTCTGGTTGGTAGGAAGTGGTAAGGGTGGGGGGTGGTCAACAATTGCTTGTACCTCTTGTGCCTGAAAAAAAATCGGGAAAACATTGGTTTCAGTGATAAGTGTCTGAAATAAGAATACCTGTACATGAACAATTACATCCTAATTTTCTGAAAGCTGCCATATAACACTCTACCTGAAATCAGGGTCCTTAACTTTTTTCCTCACTTGCTAAACGGGCCAGCAGTGATGGCTTTTTCCTAGTCCGCCACCATTTTCACTAGTCCGCGTCTTCCCCCAAATTTCAACATTCTTTTTAGCACTAGTGTTTTCTACTCCAACATCATGCATAACAGTGTGCACTCGGTACTGACTGTTGTTTAATTGTTGATGAGTAATCATAAATGGCCATGGGAATTATGAATTTCCAGAATATTCATGAGTATAACTCTACTCTTCAACACACAAAGAGGTTACGTGCTGAAAATGGTTTGTTTTATTCACAATTCAAGAGACAGAAAAAAAACATGAACAATTTATGTACATGTACATGTATGTTTTATGCAGTATGCACATATACATGCACATATGTACATGTACACCTAGGGAAATGAACATACAGTACATGTTCGTTCTAGACTGTGTCCAGTACCCAGAATTTGGCTAGCGGACCAGCGTTAAGGTCGAACCCTGCTTAAATGTATACATGGGCTCACATTAAACTATAAAATTAGGCGTGCAAACATGAAAACCTCTGTCGCCATTATTTCTTCTCGTATTGTAGAGCTGAACTATGCAAAAATCATATTCCACTCTGGCAATTACAGGTACAGGTAGCCTGCAATTGAACAACTCCAAGTGATGTACTCAATATTAAATGCCCTGATGTAAAATGTACTGTGATCAGGGTCATATACGATAATGACATCAATCTGCACGTACAACAGGACTGCATCTCTTCACATGCACAGGATTGGGTTCCTGGTCGATACTGCGGTGTGCAGCTTTAAAATGCATCCATACAAAAAGGTTGTACCTTTTGGCGGTACATCTCCTCCATCATTGTCTTCCGGACTCGCCTGTCCAACTCCGGCGCTGGGGGGAATATGCTGGGGTTGTAGGCTGGGTCATTGGGGTCATCAACCTTGTAGCCCCCGCAGAAGTGGCAGCCGCAGACCCGGCTGTTTTTTGTGGGTACCCATTGGCTTTGGAGTACAAGCAAAATAAAACCGTTTAAAAACTAAATTGCTGTCACTCTTTCTTGATGACATTTTGGTCTTCTCTCCAAAGACAGTTCACACTGATACTGTTACGCCCCAACTATAGCATCAGTCCCAACTATAGTTGGGCCCGTCCCAACTAGAGTGCTACAGTTGGGCCGGCCCAACTACAGCAGAGAGGTCCTGTGTGCATGTGCCCAGCATGTGCCAAAGTCACATTGTTTACAAAATGTCACGTCACTGGTCATAGGGCTAGATGAACAGATAAAGTGCCACATTTACGATGAATTGTGTCAAGTGTGAGACACTTTGACTTGGATAATGTTGAGACATTTCCCACAGGCATTGGTCAACAATAGTTGGGCCAGCCCAACTGCAGCACTACAGTTGGGACTTTCCCAGCTATAGTTGGGACTTATGCTATAGTTGGGGCGTGACAATACTAAAAGAGGCAGAAAGTGTGGCAAAGAAATGGGGCCTAATATGGCAATGCCACCTGTCTCATCACTTGTTGCCAATTCAATTATCATTTACAGTGATTAGTGCCAATGCCAAAATGGTATGTAATATGCATGCAATTGATAGAATATTCTTATTGCCTCCTTTAATTCCAGGGGTGTGAGTGATCACTTAAAAATAAAGCTGAAATATAAAAAGTCCCCATACTTTTGTACAGACCAGGTGTACAAAAAAGCTGAAATTTAGGGTCAACATCTAAAGAAAAAAAGCTGAAATCAGCTGAAAAGGAGAATTCTCACACCCCTGCTATTCTCACTGACAAGAAGAACAAGTTATTTTGTTCAATCAAGTTGACATTGAAGTTGAAGTAGGCCTTCTCCATCCCGCGTTAATTTGCCTTTGAAAGAAATCAATTGACAGGAAAATCAACTCAAGAGAAGTACAATTATTCTCTGCAAGAGTCAAGATAGCGCTGAACAGTATCTGTCTTCTAATTTAATAACGGAGGAATAAGAGCACATCGGCCTCCCTGGCCCTGTCCTTTTATTTTTAATGTTAACATTATTGGAAAGAGTTTTATACAGACAACACTTGATGCCCCTGTACACAAACCTATGAGACTTGTCTGAAAAAAGCCCAAACTAAGTGTTTTTTCATGAAAGTAAATGCTACAGAATTTCCTTAGGGCCTAGCTAAATTTCAATTAATGTTATGGGTCCTTAATATTTTACAGAAAAATTAGTGTTGTCCGTATATGTAACTGCTCTATGATTTGACTGACTAAAACCGACATGACCGAGGTAAGCATGCCATGCCATGGTAGGGCCTATACTTATACACAGTCCAGGTAGGCTAAGCCTACATGATGGAAATTTCAGAATGAAAAAAACATGGCAAACGAAACTGTGAATTCCATGAAACAATTTGTGGCAAGCGGTAGCCCACGCACTGAGCTTCACTGCGGGGGAAAAGGCAACAAATATCACGGACATGGTTTAGAGACATGATCGTAGAATGAAGGATTATACAAAAATAGGCCTCGGCCAAACAACAGTCACCGTCAGTCACCTTCCTCGCTGTACGAGCTTAACCCACAGCGCTCGTCTCTCCGGCTGCTTCTCCTCGTTTGGGAAACCCACGAATCTCCCCTTGGGGCAAGTCTTCTGGGTGTGAGAGCACCCACCAACGGCGCAGTTGCGGTTGCTTTTCGGCATTATGACACCGGTTCTGCTGCCAAAAAAACACACCGCATACCCATCGGCACAACCTGACGACTACAGGAGGCAGACATCTTTTTCTGTCGCCAGTGTCTTTGTGATTTAGCGCCCTCTATAGTTGAGAGTTGAAAAACAAAATGCTGTGGGGTTTTCCAGCAGAATATTAACGCTGTATCTAGGAATGTTTATCCGTGGGGACATATCCTACTGTAGCCCAATTTTCCTCCGAAATTCATCAGTCAAAAATAGCACCCACAATTTTGTCCAATATTAACACATTGTTTTAATAATTTACTCCAGTTCATACAAGATTCTATGCAAGGAGCGCACTGTCTTCAGACGAAACCCTACTTCCAGGACCAATTTCTGAGGTTTGGAGGCAGAAAAATTAACAAAACCAAATGGCTTTCAACAAAGTTTAAAATAATAAATTCCCACCCCAAATGAGGTTTAGAATGTTTACATAATTTCATGGTTTGAATACAACAGAGAAAACATTTGATAATGTTTATTGGAAGAAATGAAAATATGAACCAACATCGCTGTAGTCGTCAGGAAACTTGAGGAAAAACAAGATTCAAGGAAACTATGAAATAACAAATTTAGTGCCTGACTTGCACATTATGAGCAGTGCCAATGTCTTGTAAATCACAAATGAGCTTCCAAACCTGTACTCCCATCCTTTGTTATCCCTTAACACCGGGAAACAAGTTCTTGGAATATGATACCAATATACATGTAAATTATGACTTGTTCCCACAAAATCCAGGCCAGACAAAGTAGCACAAAGCAAAAACGCTTAGGGTCTAAATCCCTACTTGTTGTAAAGGTTCTGCTCTTTTGACCTCACAGATGTGTTTCTCCTACAAGTGGCTGCTGTATCTATGGTTGGCCGTTGGTACAAAGTAAAGTGTCAAAAATCCCACGCAGTGATCAGAACATTATTTTATTTTTGATTTATTTAAGTCTCCCTGGTAATGAAACCATGGATTCCTCAAAAGTGCCCTGGGCACAGTCGCTCAAAAGCCTGAAGAAACCTGTAGAGAGGAGACAATGAGATGAAGTTACAGTGTTTAGAGGTGGGAGGAAAACCCCAGAAAAATATTCTGGTGAAAACCCACAAAAAGGTGGGAAGCGAGGAAAGAACCACTACGTAAGCTTAAAGGCCCAGTTAATTCATTTACATTCAAATGGACAACTGTCCCGGTGGTTTTGTTTAAATGAATACCGGTAACAATACGCGTACTAATAAATACTAAAATGAAAACACAACCACTAGGACAATTGTCCATTAGAATTTAAACGAATTGGAGGTAAAATTTAAAAAAACCAACCGAACTCTGGCAGCCCATGCAAGTTGTAGGCAAAATGAGAGCCGTCTCTTGGGAGAAGGTGAAAAAGAAAACCAACTGGAAAGCTGAATTCACTTGAGAACTAAACATGTCAAACTTTGATTTGTTTTTAATTAACTGATCTGTCTGGACTTCATGGGAACAGGTCACAAATAATCTGCACAAGGTTTCACACTCGCCATACCACTGTCGGCCAATCAGCAGGAATTAAGGGGGGAAATGTCCATTCTTGGTGGTCTTGTGAATTCTGAGGTATAATTTATCCAACAGTGACTAAAAATTAACTGCAGTTTTTACTTCAATCTGTTTCATATTTCCTGGCAGAAATGTGCACAGTGAGCACAGCTGGTAACTTTCAGCCGTAACCACAAGTGAGCCAACTTTCTGTGGTGTAACACTTTTATCTGCATGCTCTGTTCCTGATCTCGCAATAGTCTGGTTACCACTCCACCAGACCATAAATGCTGCCGAGAGATATCTTCAGTCCAGCAGCCACAACGGTCACATGACTAAAATCAAATGACTAAAATCTCTGAAATTTTCTGAGATTGGCTCAAATTTTCCAAACTTAATCTGCTGATTTTCGAGAAGTATTGCCAGCCTCCGCAAATCTGCACAAAAATGGGACATTAAAAACAGCTCTTCTTTCCAGATTCCTAAACTTGAATAAGAGTTCCAAACAGTATGTCAATTTTTCGTCGTATTATTTTGTAAACTGAACTCCACTTTTCCACAACTTTAATCAGACTGATGGTTTAAAAAACGAACATGTACCAGTACATATGTATGTGTGTGCTGCAGCTAAAAATAGAATGGGGGCACCGTGGGTATTATGTCATATTCTATTTTTTCACAGTGACAGCATCCTGCCCTCAGTATCACTGACATTTCAGCCTAGATCTCACAGTATTGCTAAGACGACAATACTGCATAGAGATGCTCAGCACAAATCAGACGTAAACCAGTCAACCCCAGTATGTATCTCATGACACTGTAGCTGGTACCCCGTTCTGCCAGTGATTAGCAGCTCCCCTGCAAAGTACACATTACATGCACCATCAATGCACATCGGTATTTTCATTTCAGTCCTTGAGAATGCTCGATATTAGCTTGCAGTCGGGCGGGGCGTTAGTGAAGATCGTCCCGACGAACGCGTGGGTGCCCCACACAGAATGCCGGATGCATTTACAGCATCCGAGGTCCTCGATCTCGAAACCCAGCGAGCGAAACCTCTCGTCCGTCTCGAGGAGGGTGGTGTTTGGGTTGGGGTCGCCAAGGAACTGGAGAATTTAGAGAATGACAGAGGAAACAGAAGAGCTGTTAGATACGGTTCGAGGTTATCATCTACAAGCAGGTGCCAGAGCTCAAAGCGGACAAGGATTTAAGATGGAATCTCCACCGAGCCATCCATTTTTTTCCCTCTCTCTTTTCTTTCAACGAGCATGCAGAATGTTTGCTGGGGGAGGGGTTTCAAGAGCCTATGGATGCAGTTTTCATAAACTGTGAAAGTGGCCAATGTCATTTTCGTGTGTTTGCTTTTGGGAGGAGACAGGGTTGGGGTCACAGGAGAAGAGCATGATTTCCGGGTTCCCGAAAACTGGGGATGTCAGTTGATGGTCCCCGGAGGGAGGAGGAATCTGTGCCCAATTTTGATTCCAGAGGTTCACACAGCTATTTGCATGACGTGCATGAAAAATTTTGGCTCGTGACAAATGCCACACGGGGATTAAAAGATATCTATTAAAAAAACAACATCCCGTTTGGAATGAGGGAAAAAAAAACAAAAACACGGCCGAGAATTCGCCACCAACAGCCGCCCCGCCCGCATGGAAATGGATGCAACTTGTAAAACTGATGCTTGGCCCACTTTTGATCAGCACACGGATTTGATAAATATGCTTAGCACTGCCACAAAATTAAGCAGATTTTGCGCAGAATAGTCACTCACTAAGGTCACAAGGGTACTGTTGCAGGCGCTCACACGACATCGATGTAAGCATTACACACAATCTCTCACATATGATAAATTTATGATAAACGGTTTTGACAATCCGACCTGCAGATTTAAGCCTACTGGGTCAAACTATGAAAGTCAGGCAAATTCCCTGCTAAATGAATGCTCGGGGGTCCTAACAACTTTGAGAGATCAAACCTCGCAGACTTGCATGAATTTAGTTTTGTTGGACTTGAAGTCCGGCTCAGTTTCCACCTAGAGTATTTGTTACTTTGTGAAATCTGACCTGGAGTTCTAGTTTGGGATTTACAAGTGTACATGTACACACACAAAAAGTACAGTGTACATGTACATGTATGTGTGCTTCTTTATTACTGGACAAAGACAGGGTTTTCTCAAAGCAGACTGTCGCAATGTTACAGACTTGGGAGTAGCATTGGAGTAATCCCCAAAATTTAGGCCAGATTTGCTTCTAAAGATCGAGTTCTCTGAACTTGAGTTCAGGTCTTTGGTCTCTCTCTTCCGTTCATAAAAGAAGCCTCAAAGTTTTTTAGTTGTGGTGGAATGCTTTTGAATGCTTCACTGATGTGATTCAAGTTTTTTAAAAAACTAAAACAATTAAAAAAATGTTCAAATCTTTTCTTTATGGCTGCAAGACATTGTCATGAAATATTTCAGACGACGCTCACTTGTGTGAAAAAACCCACAATACCCATTTTGAACATATGTATTTAATACTACATGTATTGAGTATGCCAAGAAATTATTAGTACAATTTTTATGGCTTCCGTTAGTTCCTGTTTTCAGAGCAGAACAGCAAGTGGTCAACCGCAACCCACGTACAGTACATGGAGGTCGCCAACCCACTGAGCAGGTGCCTTCACAGTTCATGGCTGGGAAAATGAACCAAGGTCAACATCATAGGGATATGTGAACCCGGCTAAAACTAGTTTCCAACTGGCTCTCTAAATACGGCTCTAGCACGATGAAATTGAGACACGGAGAAAAAAATTGCTCAGTTTTTATTTCACCCACTGATGTGGAAATGTCGCCGACCCCGTTACACGACGCATACACAGGCAATGGAGCAGCTTAAGCCATTTTTCATACTAAGGTTGACTTAGTTTGCATATGTGGCTTGGCGTGCGACTGCAAAATTTGGAGGTTTCCAAATGTCCCAACAAACCGACAGTAAAATGTGGCCTAACGATACAGAATGTCTATACTGTTCGCGAGGCAGAACACAGAGAAGCATTAGGCCAGAGTCACCCAAGTCAAGGGCTTAAAATCTCCCGATGCTACGGACACAATGCTGACACAGCTGAGACTTCAATGACGAGTTGGATTCAGGCTGGAATTAAAGTTTAATAGTAGGCAATGGTATGAGTACAAATTTCAGAATCACAGATAAACAAGCAAAGAAAAAAACAACCAGGAAAGCACGAGACAGGTCCTGTGGAAAAGATCGCAAACTGAGTCTCAACTTTTGAACCTAATGCGAACAAGGAACCTGTCTAGCTGTTTCTGCCAGTTTCAGTTTAGTATCCATGTACATGTAAAAATCCAACATCACATTAATAGCCGTCGACAGTAACCCACATGAAGTCAAATTGATAAACTTTGTCTTTCAAAAGGTGTTCAGGGCACAAAGGTGAAAAAATCTATAGATTTTCTATAAATCAAAACTAATGATGAATAAATGATAAAAAAAGTCATGATCTATAAATCAAAACTAATGATAAACTGAGGCATTTTTTTACAGACGTACTGATGTAAAGAATGGGACATCCGGTTTGTAACTATTCAGGTATTTTTTATGTAAACCTTCTTAAAAAAAATCAAACAGATCAGTAGCAAAGAGCCAATGAGTCCAAAGACCAAACCAAATTCCGCAAAACAAAACTCCAGCCCTCCTTCAAAAGGATGCAAACAAAGCCACCTGATAGCACTGGATTTGCCAGGAAGCTGACACAAATGGGAAATCCCACACTCCAAATATGAACAGATTTGTCAACTCCCAACCACAACGGCGCATAAAAGTATGACAACTTTGACAAACCTTTCCAAACAAAAGTGTGGACAAAAATTGCTGTGAAAGGGTTCCACTAGGTTCTTAAAGCCATCGTCAAACGTTGGCCAGTGTACTTTTGATGTGCTTTAACATTTACACGTAAAGACAGTCTGATATCAATTTCCACTACCATTTCAAAATGGCATCTGCTTTGTACTGAAGCCAGCAGAAAACCTAATCCACTTTCCATTTGGAACTAAATAACTAAGTACATATTTTAATCAGTTTACACGTAAAATCTTTGTGTACTAAAATAATTATCTTATCTGTTACCATGGCAATAGGGCTCACCGTGAGTTACAGAACTGGGGGGAAACAATTAGCCACAGTCAATGTACATGTACATATTAAAGAAAGAAAATTACGAGGAAATGTTGTGTTCAGCAACAATTACATGAACAGTTACCATGGCAACAGGTTTAAACACTAACAAGGATGAGGAAATGATTTCTGGATATGAGTAATGCTGCTTTACTTCCGTCTTGTGAGTGGTCAGCTGTTTGTTTCCTGATCAAAAACTTGGGACTGAGACTTGGCATCGATGACCTTACTGGGGTGGCTTTCGGCCTTGGAATGACAATAAAACAGTATCATTTGATTACAATAAACTACATGGAATTTTTGGCGGGCAAAACGGTCCCTATCTTCAGAAGAACAGTTATTTGTATCATTTTAAGAGGGAGGCAGAGACGCCAACTTTATATTTACGAAGACATGATTTTTTGTTTCATTTTGTCGCATTCTGGCCATGGACAATCTCCCCAGCCCATGCCATTCAAATCGCATGAAGAGAAATCCTGTACATGTGCATGTAACTACTCAGGCACTCTTCAACTTGTTCAACCTTATAACATATTCAAGGCTGAGGCTGAACAAGAAGGCGGGATGGAGTGGCAAACATAAGCACTTATTGGCTTAACAAAGCAAAATATGTCAAGGTCACATCCTTTATTTCATAGGGGTAATTCCAGAAATTAGGGGTCCAAAAGTGTGACATTTTTGTGTCCCTGTTACATCTGGTCTTTGTTAGTTGACGTGGAAATATCACCGGAATCGATTTCAAACTGTTACTATTTGTTTGGCAGCTAATTTGCATTAACTCATCACTCCTGGAAATTAGAAGATGTCTTCCAAACTTACAAAATCATATGTCAGATGTGACAGGGACATGCAAAAAAAAATTGGACCCCTAATTTCTGGAATATCCCAAAAACTGTACATGTTTAGTTTTTTTCTGTTTTATCCTATTCTGTTCTGTTTTATCCTATTCTGTTCTGTTTTATCCTATTCTGTCCAGTGAGTTATTTTATTACTGTTCTTTCAAAGACCAACTAACCAAACTTTAAAAAAAAAATGCGGGGAGCTGCCAAATTTAGATAAAATTTGCATGACAGGTGAGTTGCAATGCACATTGCACATGTATGTACAGTGTATTTTGCAAGTGGAATTCCCCTTTAAGAATCAATACAAAATCAGTCGATAAACCTGCATTCACATCAGGGATTATATTTGTAATAACCCCCACATATCAGGATGAATATACAGCAAGAATGTGCTCTGTGTGTGGAGCAGGATCTGGCCAGCCAATCAAACGCTGGGGGGACCCTCCCCTGAGCTACCCACGGGGAGGGGCCTGGACTGCTGACTGGCCAGAAACAGTGCCGTGGTGACGAGGGCCCTGCAATGTGGACAGTTTCCTGTGTGTGTGGTGAGTGTGTGTGTATGACAACTGACTGTGTTTAGTCACCAAGGACAGCCAGTGAAGTGGAAAGCAGATTGTGCTCTGAGCACTAGCAGGGACTTCACAACTGAAATCTCGGTTCTGTCACTGCAGTCCAGGCTTTGAGTTGGGTCATTATTGAACAAGTGGAAAATCAAACACCCCACGCAGTGAACATCTACCGAGTGTGACTGCCTCTTCAGTGGGATGCTGTGAGGCATCGTATGGTAAGTTCCTACCTGCAGAGTGCACAGCAGTCTAGTCTGCTCACAATGGCCATGCACGAGCAGGTGACAGCATGCGGCATTAAGACAATATATTTCAGCTTACTGGCATTTTGTGCCTTGCCTGGGTAGGCAGCAGACAAATAAGGAACATATTCACGGTGTACAGTGCACACAAAGTATGCCAATATTTATAAGCCGTACTGGGTCCTGAGCGTGAACTGCTGAGGGCGTTCTTCGACTTGCTCACCACAGTCAAGGGATGGGCCGGCAGCGAACAGGCTGTGCAGTTTACGTACAAATTAAAACTTTAAACAGCGAAGTGCATGTATGTACATGCAAACAGCCCCAACAACAGTCTCAGATGTTTCATCGGGGTCTTCTCAGACCTTTTTAAAAGCCGTAACCATGTAACCTTAAGCAACTCCTAAATCATTGCTGGTGAAGAGGGTTTGGGGATGCGGGTGATCGATCCCGAGTATCTAAACACGGCAATGTTGGCAGCACCATGTGCTGCATGTATCCAACTGGCTCCTTGGCTCATGAAATCTCATGTGATGTATTTCTCATTACTGTGAATGGAGGACCATGGATGCAGACCACAGCCTCCATGGACACAGTCCAAATGGAAATGCGCGGGGGCGATAGCCGCATGCCTGAACTACCGGGGCACAGTACGAAAGTAGCCAAACAATCAGGCCTTGTCCAATTCACTTGGCTTTGGCTAGGGTGACACACGCATCTACGGGAAAAGGAATAGCCGTAAGCCAGTAGCTGCCATAGGTCTAGGTGGTTGTTCAAGCTATAGCCACATCTTTCGGATACAGCCTCACGTTTCATCACGACAAAAATAGCCATTAGTGGAAATGCCCTACGAATCGAATGGAATGTCAAGGCTAGTGGGCCTCATTCAAAAGCAGTGCAGTACGCCTTTCTATTGATGAAATGAAAGTTTAATAGGTCATTTCGAAATTACACTTGTACATGTACGGCCAGTGTGGTACCAGACTACTCCTTCCAATAAAATGATAATTGGTGCTAAATTTCTACGGCATTGAATAAAGAAAAAACTTACTCAACTTTTTACAGTTATACAAGGAATTTACTGGTACAAGGAAATGAAAAAAAAAAAAATGATATTTCAACATTGAAGTTCAGAAGGCTCACGCCTTGACACACGCACTACGGGGTTAAATAAACTAAACCCACACTTTCCAGCCAAAGACATCAAAGCGAAACTAAATCTTAAACAATACCTAAGTGTGCAAATGATTCTCCCCGGCATGCATAAACACACTATGGCCACCGGGTGTAAATTGGTAAAGAAATTACAACAGTATTACTTTCATTGTGAATCAATTTTGTGATGTGAGGGTGTTAAACATGCTAAACACGGAATGTAATCCACATCTATCCTATACAGAAATACAATAACGGTAGGTGGGATTACATTTTCGAGGTTATTTGTGGTTCAACAACAGCAGCGGCTGAAATGCATCACTGACAAAAGATGTACAGTGTACTTTTTTATTTTTATTAAAGAACAGAAACTCAGTCTCTCTATTTCCAATGGCTGACAACACTTACATACATGTACAAAGGAAGCCTTCTTCACAGCACGTTTGGCCCACGGCACCTGACCAAAAAAGGCATTTAGACAGCTCAGAGAGCATTCCGTGGACAATGCTGGCTCAGAAAGGTTTCCGTCACGCTATTACAAAACAAACTAGTAAATTTACGAGCAGGATGTGTGTACATCACTGCTCTCCCAGGCAAGTCTTGGTGCTCTTTCTCTTCCGCTTCCTTTTACTTACATTTCTCACAAATCTGATTTGGTTTCAGAATTCTGTTAACGCCATCTCCTCGGGCACGTAACACGTTGCCAGAAAGTTTCTAAAATTGCAGAATTACATGTAAATCTAAGTAATTAAGAACTATCCGTTGGGGCATTTTCAGACCTGGCCAACTTCAGAACATGAAGACCCCCGTGTGAAAGTACAAGTAATGACGAGTTAAACAGCTGTACTGTCATCCCTAAAATTACTTTGATATTGGTACTCCATTTAATTTAGCTCGGAAGTTGTTGAAACTCTGCATACACATGTCCACTATACTTTTGGAGTCCAAAAGTCTGACAACGTACATGTACGTGTACATGTGCGTTTGTCCCTGTCACACCGACCTGTGTAATTTATTTGACAGTTTCTTTGGTCAGCTTACATTTCCTAATCACTCTTGGAAATGAAGGACTGCGCTCTAAGCTCACAAAATATGCAAAAGGTGGCAGGGTCACCAAAAAACCGGACCCCAGAGTTTACTGAGCGATCCGTAAATAGATATTTTTCTGTGCAAATTTGACATTTAGTTTTTGCTGTCAAAAGAAAAAAAAAAATAACACCCCCAAAATGACAGACAGTTTAACAGCAACACGCACGGCTGGATTTGGGTTCATTAAAAACAAGAGTACGGACCACAAGGGGAGATGGCGCCCACTATCCCTCATGCGTGCTTGATGAACCTGCATCTGTACATGCATGCATTTATCTTGATCAGATACTGAATGGAAGTGCACCGTACCGTGACTTCAAGGGAGGAAATCTTGTCCATATGCATGAACAAAATACCCCCAACGACAACCTTGAAAACAGCGTTGGGGTATTTCCCCCCCCCCCCAAATAAATTGAAACATTCCCATCAACCACATTGAGTACAAACAGGGGTGCACAGCGCAGCAGCCAAACAAGAATTCCGAATGTAACAAACACTCGACGGTTAATGCCTCGTGTGAGCTCGCCCCATAAAACACATCCAAAGTTCTAACTGGCATGTACATGTAATTGACCTTTGGACGGCAATTTGGCAGGAGAAAGAAAACAAGTTTTGAGTCCGCGTACTGCGGTGGACTTATCGGGTAAATGTATGTTAAAAACACGCGAGGGCGGGACTGGAGATTATGAGCTCTATGCAGTCTTGGGTACAAGGTCCATCCTCTGCATTGTCAATTGTGTTTAAAATGACTGTCGGCTGACTAGGTGAATGCAATTCAATGAATAGGCATGAAAGGTGTACACGGTACACAGGCACAGTACATGTGAAAACACTTGAAAACTTCCTACTGTAGCCATACGTGTGAATTCCATCGGATCTGGTTAGACTGAGTGTGGTTAAAGGCCAATGCGCAATATTCATGTGTCCCCCCCCCGAGACAGGCCACAGCTGTGACGGGGCAGCGCCACAGAATTGGCCTTCACACATTGCCACATGTTCCCAGAACCTGCTTGTCAAATTAATCGGGCGGAGACAAGCACCCAGGTACATGCACATGTGTGATGATTTTAATTTGTACGGGCTCACTGGCATCACAAAATGCAGAGCCTTTCAAATACCGTTATAATTTGCAAACGTTTAAGACCACTGGAATTCATTGGTGTTTCTGTCACTGGGCCTGCATCACATTGTCTCAATGAATGATTACTGAACTTTTTTTTACAGTGGTGCATGATATCAGTTTAACGCTATATCCATTTGAATGAAATTTTTGGCAATGGCAGGTCTGGTATGACATTCTGTCTGTGGGGCAGCGTGGGGAAAAAAAAGCCAGTCTAAGTGATCAGAAATACACTGTAGAGGGCACAGGAAATTGTTAGCATTTCAAATCATGGAAATGCAGTCAAGATAGTGAGGTTACACATAGAAAATAAACATAAGTTGCCATCATGGATTGGATATTAGGTTTTTCAGGTTAATGCATTTTGTACGGGTGGTCCTAAACATTTGCAAATGACTGTACAACTGCAGCAAACCTGGGCTCTGTTTACATGACTGACTAATGGAAGACTTCTGCACTTAGTGCCTGGTTTCCATATCAACGTCAGAAACGCAGGGAGCAACGCCATCGAGATACAAAACTGCAAACACAGACACATGGAGACATGTCAAACGGAAGTATTGCCGATAACTCAGATATACGCAAACCAGCTCCAGACGGATCGGCAAAGTTGAGCTCGGTTCAACTTTGCCGACTGTCTGTGTTGAGTCGCTGAGTAGGTCTTATACAAACGCGCACGCTGAAGTGACGGGCGTACGATGTTTCTCTCGCTTAGTACCACTCAGTTTGTCCATTGTCTCCTATTACTGACATACATGTGCACCCCCAATTGTCGACAAAATAGCAGACCATAAACAAAATACATGTACATCAAACTGGAGTATCAGTTTGGCTTCAGGAGGCAACATTGTCACCTACATTGTAAAAAGTGCATTTTTTGTAAAAATTTTCCAAATTTTGGATGCCATTTTGTTTAACGTTTTGGTGGAATCACGTCGCGCCGCGTCTCTTCCGCGAATGTCTGCATCTTGACGTCTTGTGGACCGTCTGCGTTAAAAACGACCAGATGGAAACCAGGCTTAACTCAACCCTCTGCATTAACAGCTTCATTCCAATCTATCCGGTTGAGCGCGGAATCTTTACTTACAGAATTTATTATGCATAACCTAAGATTTCCGAGATAACCTGTTACATACACTAATCGTAAGCTCGGACTAACATGTACGTGTACTTGTATTTGCTATGGCTAGTGGCAATTTATCTCTAATGGTAAGCAGAACCTTTGAAGTGGGACTTCACTTGGGTCCCGTGAAGGTGCGAAGTTAAGTATGAGCTCGACATTCATGCTTTTGTTTTTAATGTGATATTGTGATTACAGAATTTCGCTCTCTGTATCTTTGGCAGACGCACAAAATGGACGGGAATGGGGAAGATGAGACAAGAGAGCAGGTCCTGGGGAGTAACCTCACTAAGACCCCGTCCAGGGAGATGGGAGAGGAAGCAAAGGGAGGGGCCAAACGGGCCTTAAGGGACCTGGAGCAACTCCACGAGGAGATCGGGAAGCGGGAGCGCCAGCTGGAGATCAACGTGGAGGCCACGCGGCAGGAGGTGATGGCTTGCTTCCAGCGCTGTCAGCGCAAGCTGCAGGAGCGCGAGGAGGCCCTGCTGGGCAAGCTGCATCAGGAGCACAGGCGGCTCAAGCGCGCCCTGCTGGCCCCGAAGAGGATGGCCGTCAACGTGAACCATGCCAGCCTCAACAGTGACAGCAGCATGGTGGCCTTCTCCGAGGGAGAGCCCGCCGACGGGCATGCCATGAAGACAGAGAACGGTATCCCCGTGGGAGCTTTGCTATGCAACCGGAACAATAATGGTGAAACAGAGCTGGACAAGGTACTGCAGGGGTTGCAGAGAGCTCTGGACCTAGCCAACACGCCCTTCCATCTCTCCCGTGCCGACGAGGCCATCCTGCGCCAGTTTGACGACTTTGTGGATCACCTCGGGACGGTGTATCTGGGAGACGCAGACCCATCGCGGACCATAGTTAATGCGCATCCAGCCCTTGTCCTTGCTGAGAACACCGCCAAAGTTAAAGGGGTGAATCAGAAAGGAGAAGAATGCAGGGGTGGTGGGGCCAACATCTGTGCATCGTTGAGGAACCAGGAAGGCACTGTCACACTATGCAAAGTGGAAGACTGTCTGAATGGCATCTATAAAATCTATTACACCCCACAGAAAGTGGGTATTCACTTCCTGCAAGTCGAAATCAGCGGGGATCCAATCAGCAACAGCCCTCTGGAGGTGGAGGTGAAACCGATCCGCCTCCTCCCCAACAAGGCCTTCATTGGTGGAAACTGTTCTGTCGCCATGGAAATGCCGCGCGAATACAACCTTCCCGTGTTGGGCAAAGATGGCAAGGAGTTGGGGAAGACGCAAAAGCTCTCTTTGCAGAGCCTGAAGATCGCCATTCTGGACCCAGAGGGGAACGACGTGGAAGCATCCGTCGCTGGCAGCGTCCAGCGGCGGGGTGTCATCTGCACCTACACGCTTAAGTATGTCCCAAAGGTGGCCGGCTTCCACGAGATCAAAGTCAGCCGGCTCGGGCAGGATGGCATCCTCCTGGCTCATGTGGTGATGCCCGTTAGTGAGAGAGAGCAGATGGGCAGGCGCGGCCACGGAAGAGGCCAATTTGACAACCCGACTGACGTTCTTGTGACCTGCGAGGGCGATCTGATCGTCGCTGACACAGTTGAGAATGAGCGTGTGCAGTGCCTAACCCCGGATGGCCAGTTCAAGTACGATTTCCCCTTCCCTGGTCAGGAACCCACACTGCTGGCAGCTAACAGCAAGAACATAGCTGCTCTTTTACTTAATGCCAAACGGGTCAGGATCTTGACCCTCCAGGGACGTCAAGTCCAAGAGTTTGGCCATGACGACTTCACGCAGCCCTACGGAATTGCCATCAACTCTGACAATCAGGTCTACGTCAGCGATCGCGGGGCCCACTGTGTCTTTGTCTTCTCATCTGAGGGCAAACTCTGGAGGCAGATCGGCAAGCACGGGTCGGGCCCCGGCGAGTTTGACTTTCCCAACTACATCTTCATCGATCCCAGCGACAACCTCTTCGTGACGGAGGCCAAGAACTGCCGCATCCAGATCTTCAAGCCCACCGGCGAGTACACAAAGGAAGTGCGATCCCTGGACAAGCTACCCCAGCCTGGTGCCGTCGTGGCCACGGCCAGCGGCTACCTCCTGGTCCACAACGAGTCCGACAACCGGGTCCAGATCCTCAACCTGGACACGAATCGCTTCATCAGTAGCGTCCTGGTGGATCTCATCGCGCCGTACACCCGGCGGATTGCCGTGACAAGGACTGGATTCCTGGTGGCGCTAGACATGAGCAGCCACTGCTTGTGGAGATATCCCATTCCATTTGAGTAGCGGCAAAACCAGTCAACACTACATCCCAAATGATTTGATACGCGAACCTAGTCCTTCACATTTTCCGCATTTCTATAAAACTACGTGTACATTCAATAAAGACAGCCGCAAAAGAAGTCATCACCACTGTCAAAAGATCTGCATTACGGATATCTGGCCAAAACTTTGACAGCCATCACCAAATACTGAGCAGCCATAGAGTACCAAAGTGAATACGTCACGCGCACAATTAGTGTTTAAAAGGCATTAGTGCTAGAACCAGCACGTAAACCAACACGCGCGCGTACTCCATTCGTTTGCACTGCACTTTCTGGTTCACAGTGACGCCACACTTCGGTACTCTATGGACACTTATGTTCATGATCGTAAAACAGCCTTTACTGGATCTTTCAGCATTGTCTGTAACAGTGTGCCAGTGTTTATAAATCCTTTGAGTACATCACCCTCTGAAAAGAAAAAATCTCCCACGGGGGACATTTTGCGACATTACGTGCCTTGAGTGCATCCGCATACGACAATTTTATTCAAAATTGAACCTTTGGGGAGAAGTCTAAAAAGGCTAGACTACATGTACTTATGGTTCACTGATGAACGTGATGCCTGTAAAAAATTGTGATGATTCTGGATCAATTCAGATATTAATTTTGCCGGGGGGGGGGAATGAGGCTGCTCTCTACATTTTATTGCACTCGTTAAGTTGATAAATGAAAAATAATGGTTTGTACCTCTAAAAGATTCTATTCAATACACACTGTTGTCAAGTATTCATGTTCTGTCAGTTTTCTATACCTTACTGTAAGCATAATATAGGTTATATTTTAAGGCCACATACATGCACTAGTACCAATAGCCTTAACAATCTATTAACTCTAACAGTCCCAAATCCTCCAATTTCAATACGATTTTACATACATCCTTTGGGGTTAGGGTTAAAACATGTACATTGTTGAGAATTATAGGAACATCTAACACAAATGTATGTATATTATTTGTAACATTTTAATCCATTTATTGGAGCAGCTGAAGGAATGAAAATCTATGATTTCAGAAAAAAAATAGTAAAAGGAGTCGGAGTCATTAAATGTTTCGTTAGAGATCAGGTTTTTGACCAGGTGCCCAAAGTTTTGACATTTATTCCCGATACTAATGGCTCATGAAGTCGAGTAAAGACGACACTCTCCATACGTTCAAAACATTTTTCCCCTGGAACATTTCTGATGCTACACGGGAGACAGTGCAGGCATCCAGAGAGCCACCAAAAGACGCAGCTCGAAAAAAGTGCAGCGACATTTTTCCTGCCTTGAGTCTTCACACCTTCTCGTATACATGTAAAATGCATGCGTCATACTCTCGCACACTTTACTGTGCTCCAACACAGACACATCCCCCACAGCAATTGCCCCAATAATCTGGCTCGGTATCCAGGCAATGGCCAACGACCACCGCTGACGGTGCTTCTAATTAGGGCTTTGCATCCCACGCGGGTAGAAGGTGCCGTTGAGGTCCTGAATTGCAAAGCAACCGTTATTTGCTGCTCAGTTTTACTGCAGCTTTTCATAGCACCAATGGCCAGCTTGGATTAATTGGACTTTAAAGGGGCTATGACAACGTGTCCTTGTGGGTGTATTTTTTTAGACAAGGGTAATTCCAGAAACTAGGGGTCCAGAAGTGTGATATTTTTGTGTTCCTGTTCCGTCTGACCTTTGTTATCTGACATAAAAATATCACTGGAATTGATTTCAAACTATTACTTTTTGTTTGGCAGGTAATTTGCATTAATTCATCACTCTTGGAAATGTGAAAAAAATGTGAAGAAAATTTGTTCTAAACTTACAAAATCGTATGTCAGATGTGACAGGGACACGAAAAAAAATGGACCCCTAATTTCTGGAATTACCCAGAAGTGGTTTCAAGAGAAGAATTCAAACCCATCCTGCAAAGATGGATCCTTCAAAAACTAAAATGTGCCGGCAAGCTTTTGTAGCATTCACCATGAACATCACAGATTCTAGAGGCTTTGGAAGATTTTGCAAAAACTAGAGGAAGGAAGAGACTTGTTACTGTAATACCTCAGAGGCTTGATACGCGCCTTGAAAGTCGAAGTGCAAAAAAAAGTTCTGTTGAGTTCCTGCACTGTTGAAAAATTTGGAGGATTCATATCCGGAAAGTTCCTGGCACAAATACCCTTGTGAATTGTGTATGGCACAACTGATATACGGTTCCTGCTGCTTCATTGCCATACGTAAGACCGTTTCAGGACTTTTTGAAAGTGTGCGGTGGTAATTCCCATGTCGTGATATGATTCACCTTATCACAGAAAGTTCAATGTCATATTAATTTGGGTACAGAAATTTGGAGTAAGTTTCAGTTTTCACCAAGGGAAATTCTCTGTCATTATCGTTTATTTCAGTGGCAAAACTCAATCGAGAGAGAGTGAGAGAGAGCTGTATTTCAGGTTCGCCGTCTACGTCTGAAGTGATATCTCCGCTGTAGCGCCATCGTGTGTCACAAAAATGCAAAGCTGGACATATGAGGACGAGAAAAGCAGTGTACTCACGGCTTGGCCCGATGATGGATCAATGAAGTCGGCCCAGTAACCCGCTTCGGACAGCACTCTGCACATCTCTTTGGCACTCTCAAAAAACTGCACGCATGTGGGGGCCAAAAAAAACAAGAAGGCACAAAAATAACGTCCATTGAACTGCTGAAAAAGGTTTGGAAAGACCAGAGGGGCAAATACAAAAGAAATAGCAAGTCTCTTTTCAGACAATGAGCCAGTTTGGTATTCAAAAGGCTTATGCCCAAAATGAATCGTGTCCGAGGACATTTGGACGCATGTCTGAGGACATTTGGACGCACATGTGAGGACTGTCCTATATCAGCGTGGCCCTATGCGGACTCTGTTCCCGAATGACCTTGCTTTTTTTTAAATACCGAACTGGCTCATTTTGCTCACCGGTCGGTGTTTATCTCCAGTTTCCTGGGCATGAAACGACTGAGAATAATATGTCTATCGCCCACCCCACGGATGGGATGCCAGACACAAACGCGACGCAGTCATGAACAACCCTGAACACAACAAGTTTACGGAAAATGCGGCACAATCTCTCTACGAACAAATTTGGCTCTTGGGTTGGCAACTTAAGTTTTCAATTTTGAATGCGTTCCCCGCCAGGCACAAATAAACCCCTGCACGCTAGCAGTGCGTTCCCACCTCAAGGACGACATCGCTACGTAAAAACAGACCATCTCATGCTCCTGCACAGAGCGGACGGGCGTTCCCTGTGATTTGTCGAGGTGAGATCGGGTGACCAAAAACTCAACTACTTTTCATTTGGCCGTGTTCTGCCAACCATCCAGACAAAAACCGTATCATTCGCAGTTGTTGGCTACGTCCGAATGACTTGGCTGCGGCTTTCATTTACACGCGGGTCCAGGACAGTGGCTGCGTCGCTACCCATTGAGACGCGCGTAATTGGAAGCCGCAGCCAAGTCAGCTCGGGCACGGGGGGCTTACGTTTTCCATGAGTTCGTTTCGCTCCTCCTCCACCTCGTTGCTCCAGCCGGTCATGTTGTTCTTGGTCCGTTGGCAGAGGGTCACTACGGTCAGCTTCGCCGAACTCTCCAGACGCACCCCGGGGAACAAGCCCAGAAAATCTGCACCCACAAAAAGTAGGGATTTGGAGGGGTAATCAGTTCTGCCATTTCTACTCTGCTCAGATCAAAACGAGATCATGCTTTTTCAAAAAAATTCAAAGTTCGCATTTGTGGTACATTTATGAAATGTTCTGTTATTACGAGACTGAACTGGACACGGGATGTAGTGAAGGAAATGTAACTAGCAACTTTAAATGTGATTAAATGCCTACAGACACATGCATCACAACTCCACAGAGTGGGCTCGAGCCCCCGATAAGTTCCGTCAAGCCCAGGACACTAAGATACTCCACAGTAACACTAACGGTCCTCAATCCTCCAAGTTAAACAAATTATGCAAGCCACTAATCTGGGTAACCAGATCCTCCAAAAGCATATCATGCTCAAGGTAAAATAACAGTAACACAACATTCCTTAGTGAGCATGCACACATGTACTCGACTGTTCCAGTTTTGGAACAAGCATTTTGCTATTAAAAGAAGGAACAATGGGTTTTGCTTTGGAACAAGTAGTATTTTTCCAGAGGCTGTTATTATTAAGCTTTGCAAGATTTGAGACATTCTCTGGGAATTCTGAATTCAATTTCAACAAAGGAGGAGCCATGTGCCAGAGGGTGTCGCCTACCTTTTCTGAGGTTCTCTGGGCAGTCTTGGGCGATGCACTCCAGGGCCTGAGGGTGGTCCTTGAAGGATTCCTTGTCTTTGGTTTCATCCGGGAGATCATGTTCCTGCATAGTAATAAAACAGTCAAACGGACAGAAAAAAAAAATCTTGTTTTTTAATAGCTCAAAATGTTGAATTTTCGAAAAAAAAAAGCAAAAGCAAAAATTTTTGAAATACTGCCAAACCCCACAAATAAAAATTTTTAATAACAAGCTAGTTTCCAAAGCCCGCACAAAACGTTAAAGGGAAACCCACCTCTGACGCTGTATTCACAAACTGGGCCAGAACGCCGGCGTGTCGGTCCTGCGGCAGCGCTCGGGTGAGGATGTCGGGCACCACTCTGCGGGCAACCGGAACGAACGAGGCGCTGTGAGCGCCAGCCTGAGATGCGAATCCCGTGTTGCCAGGCAGCGGGAACTGAGGATTGGGCGGGCCCACGGGGCCAAGGTCGGCGTCGGAAATTCCCGACGAACGCGCTATGCACTGCACATCTGAAAATCAAAAATTCAATTGATGCTTACTCATTTTCAGGCATGCAACTGGGAATGGGAGACTTTGAGACGCACGGGGGTCGCAACCATGCCGGCCCATTTTACCAGTTCTGAGCATGCACGCATTGTTCTGAGAACGCATACCAGTACACAGTTCTGAGCATGTGCAATAATACTGTGACAAAGGATCAGTACGTCTGCTGCCACCATGGTCTCAAATTCTCCCGTTCAGAAAAGGAATTGCAAATTTGAAAAGACTTTGTACAGATTCAGGAGAAGTGAAACGAAAGCAAAAAGTACTGCTCTGAGGAAAAAATGACTTTCCTGCACCTTCATTCTTCTGACTGGAAAAGAAATTTAGCACCCCTTGACAACGACATCAGTCAGTGTACAAACATGGCTTGAGGGTAAAGGGTTGATGTTAGCTCTCCAAGATGTAGGGCTGGGTACTAATTACTGATCTCTAGATAGGTAGCTCAGCAGTGACTGCCTATGTGTGAATTGAAGTGACCTCAAGTCGGGATCCTCCGTGATGTCTTGAATTTATGCTTTGGATATGGAGGCTGCACGGCGTTACTTGCTTCCCGCCCTCTTGTGTCTACATATTACTGTGAGTTGCGAAATCCCAACTTGACGAATCTGCCAACCGTTTGTACACAGCGAATCAGCTTATAGCAGCCAATCAAATTGCTGGACTGTTACAATGTTCACACCTCCGTTATAATGAATGAGTCTACGAGTCTGACTACTTTGATTGGTAGAAATTCCAAGTCTGACTTCTTTGATTGGTGGAAATTCCATATACATTATGCAAATTCATGTCATTCACGTGCAATTATGAATAACTACACATCACCGACAGGGGGTCTGATTGGCTTATCCGTCAAGTCAGACTTACTAACCGGTGACGTGTGACACTCGTACAATAGACGTTGATGCCGGATATCGCGGAAAGACTATCAAATGAGGGCGCCTTATGGGAAGTTATGCGAGCGGCCGAGCACAACTGTGTACAGTGAAGGGATGGCTGGCTGGGGAAGAGCAAACGCAAGTCCAACTTGGTTCAAGTCTCACTAGGCACCATAGGAGAGCACGCACATAAATAAAGTGTGGCGTCATCAGTGCACAGGTCCATCGGAGGGTAACAAATTAGTTCACAAGGCAAAGCTAAGGAAACGAGTCTATCACCTCTAAAACCAAGAGATCTAACCGGGGCTATCCATTGGAAATAAGCCATGACGTATTTGTTTAATTTGGTCCTCAATCACGAATTTGAATAAGGTATGGTTGTACGCACCATTCCATCCATCCCCCTCATATGTGGGAAAAGGACGTTGACCATGTGGGGAATGGGACAGACAGCTGGTGAGCCCAGAAATTTCTCAAGCAAAGAAGTAAATACAGGGCAACAAAAAAATTGCTATACATGTATGCCATATAGAGGGCTTGCATGGTGAGCCATGATGGAGGGCACGTCTACTCATGCACAGCATATGGGAACAACAGATGGAGCACGTGCGAGCACACTGTACTTCTTGGTTCACCACTCATTTTGCTTTCAGTGGAAAAGTCTTCAAGGAACATGTTCAGCTCCGCGTATCCATGGAACTGGTGCCAGGTGCTGTTGGCCTTGGACTGACACATGTGCACAGATGAAAGAGTTCCACTTGACACCCTACGCATAAACCCTATGAGACCGGTCTGAAAAATAAGTGTTTTTCTAAAGTGAATTCCCTCGATATTTTCACTTCTCAAATTTGACTTTTTAGGGCATGTTATTTCTGTCAGACAGCTAATAGGTCAATACAGGGAAAAATCTGTGTTCTCCCGGATATAAAATTCTTTCAGTAAGCAAATAGAGGTTATGTACATGGACTACTGGTGCCTTGGAGGCTGTTCTTAGTTATATTAATTTAGTTAATTCAGAATGCACACAAGATTTACCTGAGTCTATCCTAGTGATACAGAGCCCTTGCCCTCTGACTCTGCCTTAATGCTTTTACCTCTATTATTCCTGTATGCCAATGCAGCTTCAAGAGGCAAGTTTGAGTGACTGTCAAGCTGTTGGTCAAGCCACCAGTGGATTTCTGCCAAAATTGACCAGGGGCTACCCCGGCTGGTACTTAATGAAGAAACACAAAATTAACTCGAGGACTACAGACCTTCAGTGTTTTGTTCGCTTTCGGCACTGCTGCAAGAGAAGCCCGCCCTGGGGGTGCAGACGAGGGCTGCTCGCTGCTGGAGGGACTTCAGACCCGGCAGGTAGCTAACGAGACGAGTGCGGCTCAACAACTACAGGAAGCAGAAGAGAGATATGTGCTGAAAACTGTTGCCAGTCACTGATCTTCAAATCTTAAGTCATCGTTAAACTTTACTCTCCTTTTGAGAAGATCTTTCACAACTGTCTTATTACAAACAACAGGAGATTGGCCGATGGCGGAATTGACAAAGCATGACATGATATTGACCGAGCGAACAAGAGCCGAGCAAGCAGGAATATCGACCAATTGCACCCAACACTAATAAGGTCCAGATTAATAAATATGTAACATCCTTGATGTTATTAGGCCGATGAAAGTTGATCTTAAGGTTCTTGTCAGCCACTTCTGGAAAAGTGACGAGGGCTTTTCATCATCTTTCATTAGCAAATTTCTCCACAAATTTGACAAGGGATTTTCCTAAAAATTTATCACACTCACACTGCGCTTAAAGGTTGAACTCATTTCAAAGGCTCTGGACAGTGAATAACGATTTAAATTGAAGAGAGAATAGAACTTCAAATTCTGTTGCAACTGCAATTTATTGACCCATACATGTACATGTATGCATACGCACTGCTCTGGGTATGCACCACGCACGGCTAGACTAAACACGTACATGTACATGCGAAAACACTGCCTGAGTGTACGTGTTCCCACAACGGATCAGCAAGGTAGTGCAGTTTCCATCAATTTGCCTTCGAGTCGATTAGTACAGTATGCGGAATGCGGTATCCAATCAAAAAGTTGTTTTATTTGGCCATTTTATGACCTCGTTGGCCTTATATATGGAATGTAAAGGCGTGGCTACAGGCATGCAAAGATGTTGAAAGAGTTCTTTTCGAGAACGACATGAATGAAGCAACACAAAATGAATGGAGATGGTAAAAAAATCCACATCCAAACTAGTCTGAGTGACTTGGCCTTTTTTAACATTTGGACATGGTCATGATGGTCGGGCGATAGTTGGGTTCAAGTACATGTACCTTTCACAGACTTTTGCTTGGATTAATTCATTCCACTCAAAATAGCTCTTACCCCCGAGTCAAAATTCACCTCTAAACTGTCCTTAAAATGTCTAATGCACTTGTCTATGGATTGAGTGAGAATTGGAGATTCCAATAATGATAATCTGATAATATGGTTTACTCACATATGGGAAGAAAAGAGAAATTTCCCCTTCAACTGGGAAATGCCGGACCATGTCCAAATGTTAAAAAAGGTTAGGGGCCTATATTTGTTGTGTAAGTTCAAACCGAGTGGCCCTGTATTCATGATATTCTATAGCTGTCTCCTGTCAAAAAAAAACACATTTTTTGCATTTTAGTTTTACATAAAAGCACTTACTTTGGCCATGCTGTTCATCGGCCTGTGTGGTACTGGCGGCGGGCAAAGGGTTAACTTGTCAATCTCGATCTCGGGCGTCTGAATATTAAAAGACTGATTGTCAGTGACATGTTGTAAGAAATAAGTACGAAATTCTGATGATTTCCATGAAAAATTGGAACCTTGTACACGCTGGAGTAGTTTTTATTCACGTAAAATTACTTACCGCTGTTATATGTCCACGGTGTATGAGTAGAAATCAAATATAAATGCAACCTTCCTTTCGCACGTACACAAAATTTGGATACAAATTTCACCACAACTTTCTACCGTCTGATTCTTAGACTCAAGTGTTCTCAGAACAGGCAAGCATTGAGGATATCTCGCTAAGGAACCAATCTAAAAACAAACACGCACGACGCTTACAAATAGCGCCCTCTTTGGCCAATACCCAAATAATGTCAGATTAATATTGTGGTTTGCGCAACATTTTATTTTGGGATGCTCATTTGAAGAATGATAATCAATTTTCTGGAAATGAGTTTCCTTTTACTTTTATTTGAGTCCATAAACCATCAACGAAGCCGACCAGATTTTTTTGGCTTTGAGCGGAACCAATGCTCGACGAGTTTTCTCCAACAACCAAGACTGAAGAACAAATATGGAGAACGAGCTTGACCTTTCAATCCTAGCAGAATCAGAAATGACTAGGTAACAGTGAGCATATGGACACAAACCCAAGAAACAAAAAGCAAACTTCAGACAAGTAAAACACAAGAACTCCTGTGAACTGCATACCGACAATAGGGATTGCTTAACCTAGCTAAGCACTGTGGCGTATCTAGCTAGGCTTTGAGTCAGGAGGCGAAGTGGGATTTTTTTCTACAAACTGGGGTAATTTTTTTTTCATCCATAAAAGGAACCTCCCAAGAAATGTGAAAGCATAGCCTTTTGAAAATTTGGTGCTTTCAATTGAAAGAATAAAATAATGTAAAAAAAAATACAAACATGTCTCTAGGGGGCACCCGCCCCACGCGCTATGCGTCGGCGACTAAGCAGTTTGAGGCAGTTTTTGCGTTTACACAAGTTTTTGGAGATCATTTCTCTGTTATATTTTCGCTCTTTGGTGACTCTCCTTACTGACAAAATGCGCCTGTTTAGGATTTGAACAAGTCCCTAACAGAAATTTATCACATGAACTGAATTGGTTAATGGCCACTCCTTATTTCGGCAGCCTGAGCCTCACACCGCAATGTTTGCGCTAGCGCAGCCTGCACCGCACAGCTTGCACCGTCAGTGGTACGATGCGCCCCGCCTGGCTGGACAGCCTCGGCGGCCCAGCCGCAACAAGCGAGCACGGCGCCAGAAACCGGGGATGCACGCCACGAGCAGTTATCACTGGAACGTTGATTGTGAACGGATTGAGGACCGACTTAAATTGGGTTGTCCATATACACTGTCCCCAGTAATTTTATTGACTGGATAAGAGGTGTTGATAACGGATTACGGTAATTAACTTGGACGAAAATTCCAGCAGTCAGCAGGAATCCGGAAGTTCTATCATGGTGTAGCTATAAGCCTAAAACATACACAGAAGGTCCATCCAGAGGCAGATCCGCGCCTACAGTGCATGCAAGGCTAGGCTGGGCTGAATAGTGGCGCTCGCCCAAACGAACCTGGACCAACTCGAATACACCCCCTTCCCATTCTGCTGGTTTAGTCGACACTATCAGTTTATAAAATGCGCTAAATTTAGCACATTAATTACAGGTTGATCAACTTTGCACTTGCCCTGTACTGTTGCGACTACTTTGCTTTGAGATGAGTATATTCAACTGGATTCCTGAGTCAGAGTGTAATTAACTTTTTGGAGATCGAGGGTTATTTCCCAGTAGTTTTTAAGTACCTTCACTTCTGGGAATATTCTGCGTCTTTTGAGAAGGAAAACTGCATACGATTTTAGGCACTGTATAGGTCTTGCTAGTATCAGCAACATAAAACATCGTAAAATCCGATACATGTACAGCGAAACGAAAAGAACGTCTTCTCAATGTTTCGACCTGCGTGGTAACAGTGCATTGGTGCTTAGGTCTGCGGCAATTCAAGACTCAAAATCTGTACTACTGTCACACATAAAAAAGGGTGTTGGACATTGCCTGGGGCCATTACATGTAAACATGCCAGTGTTACCAAGGACAAAACCAACTTTGCCAGTTTTCAATTTCACCAGCATGATCCCATTGTTGAAAACTTTACACAAAGTTTGGCAGAAATATAAACAGTGGATGAAACATTACCACACCAAATAAGTATCGAATGTTCGAGTTCACATTTTTCAAAGTTTTTTCATTTGAAGACTATACAGGAGTGACAGCAAGCGCTTGAGTGCTTTTTTACTTTTCTAATAAACAACACCTGAGCACTTTGGTTAAAGCCCGAGTTTTTAACGCTTAAGTTAATGTCATGTTGAATGTGTTCCAGTAACCGATAAAATGAAACAGCCCACTGGCTACATAAACAGAATTAAACGGAGCGAGAAACTATGCCAAAAGGCGTGAGTGCACACTTAAATGGTGTAACTATTAAAGGTCAAAGAATGTCATACGATTTGTAGGAATGTAGCAAGATGGCAAGACCATGAAAGTCGAGAAAAATCTGGACATGCCTGAGTGCAATCCTGACAGCTTACTTAGTGAGGTTTCTTTCATTGTTTGCCTGTCAGGGGGCTGGATTCAGTGGGACTGACGGAGCCAAAACCGCACAAAGCCGGCTCATCGGACTACTCCGCCTCGCTCAATTCATCGCTGTTGACAATACCGCTAACGAGCGTCTCGCGACGGTTGATTGACGGCTCCCGGGTCTCTCTCAGCCTCCCTACGGCTGGGGCTGATCACCTTCAGTTGGTTGTTTTTCTGCGCGCGTGAGCTGGGAGTCTGGACCCCTGAAAAAAGTCTCACGCCAGTCAAAATGAATTCAATCAGGTCGCTCCGGTTGTTTGTTTCACCAATTGATTTCTTATTATCATTACGAGTCCAGGGAATTTGGTTTATGGACACGAGTCAGTTAAACCTGGGTGGATAGGCTATCAGAGATCACTTCGACGAAGAGCTTGGACCAAGCAGCATCGCTTTAAGTCATAAGTCAACTTTTCGGCTGCAGTTGCGGCATTTCTCGAAAATATTTTTTAAAACAATCAGTTGGGTTATTTAACTTTCAAACAAATCTGCAATCCGATATTTTTATCACCAGCAAGATGATTTCCTCAGTACACAGTACGCTGGTGTTTTTGACGGGCCTCATCTTGCTCGCCGCATTACCAGCCGTCGAGGGGTACCTTTTGGCCTGGGCATACGGACGGCACCATGCAAGTGATTCAGTAGAGGACGATACCGCCATAAATCACCCGAGAAACGTCTACAGCAGGGACACGTCGTCTTCGAGAACAAGAGATGAAAATGGAACACCAGAGGACGAGGTAATGTTTGTAAACATTCTAAGATCTCAAAAGGTCAAAAGTTGGCCTATTTTGAAGTACTTAACTGCCCATGAGAAAAAGGGAATAAGTTTTACTCACAATCTGGAAATGTGATTTTTTCTGGATATACCATTTCGTGTGCTCAGCATAAAACCTTAGAGCACGGAAATGGAGAACGAACTTCCTTCTGGAACCTAAATAAAATTGGAAAAATGAAAAAAAAAAAACAGAATATTGACTTAGATTAACTGGTAAAAATTTTGAAAAGCTAGACCACAAAAATCTCATGCTGGTTTGCTTTCTGGGACGAAAACAGGCTCTCGAAGTTTGCAAGAGCGACAAGGCCTGCGGACGGGGGTTCTTTTGCGATAGACATTACGGGGAGTGCATTCCTCATCGGCACGAGCTGGAGCCGTGCCGGCGCGACGGGCACTGCAACCGGGGGTTGGAGTGCCGCTTTGGAACCTGCCAGCAAATCATCAAATCCGGAAGAGTCGGTGAGTGTAAGAATTATACTTAACTGATGTACTCACTTATGTTATTATCTGTCTTTTTTCACTTCGAAATGTGTATTTCGGAGCTTGAAACTGTTTGGCATTGGTGTAAGACGATATCTCATCCACACGTCAGCTCTGAGGCAAATAACGTAACTGACTGTTATCGCACATTCTCAAGAAAGCTTTTGTGTTCGTTGATCCAAACTTCGGTAAACATGCTTGTGGCCAAATCACTTATTTCAGGACTTTAATAACTATTGTGACCCAGCACGTCGAAATCAGGAAGAAGTGTCAAATTGACTTTTTGAGATATGTACATGGTCAGAAACTTTTTTTTTAGATGCAGAGTGTCATCTTCGGAAATCTCTGGCAGCGTTTAGTTGCTCTTGAAATTACAAGCTATACTTTTGTACTGGTGAATTACTTTTCCCGAGTTGTTTTGTTTAAAATAACCTCATAAATGCGCATGACAGACTTGACAACCAATAGAAGCAGGTTCGCGTATTTTACGGAGTTGTTGGGTTCAAAGGTTTTTTTTTTAATACATGTAACTTCTCATGAGGGACAGAAAGATGTCATGGGTATGACATCCCTTCGATGAAAGTGTACCATTTCATCGCCCCTATTACATGCGGTTACCTTTTACTCCCTGATGAAATAGCAAAATTGTAGTCTGATCCATTCTTCTACTGTGCTATCCCTCAAATCTCTAGGGTAGTAAGTTGGGGAGGACGGGGGAAACAAATGAACAAATCCCCGAGCAAATAATCAGAACACACAGCAAGTTTTTCCGGGGAACACACACCGTCGCAACTGTCACCTCTCATTGTCTGTTTTTGTCTGCGGAGATCGCCAGGCGCGCTGCTACCTGCTGGGTTCATTGTATGGGGTCCCCCGGGGTGAGCTGTCATTCCGTTTGACGAGCAGGCAAGGGGGGGGGCGACAAAAGTATGTCCCTAAAAACACATCTCTCCTTCGACAATCTTGACAATCATGTTCTAAGGCTTCGCAACTGGGACAACTGGGACCTCCACTCTGTGATGTTTTCAATCCTGACAGTTGCCTATTTTTCGAGACATGCCCGGAGCACAATGTACCAAAGTCGCGATCGTGCAAACAGTCAGCAGCCTGTTCTTCACAGCGCGCTTGGTTCAAGTAAACACTTCTCAGAACCTTGCTTAAATTCATGAAATGGAAATAAGATGGGGTCTATCCAGCTGGTGGCGGTTGGGGGAGGGCTGGGAAAAGCTCCCCCTCCCCCATAGGACGTTTTGTCATTTTTATGGGAACTAAACGCGCAAACACTCTAGAAACCGCAGAGTAGCACCTTCAAGAATTGGTCGCAGAAGGAAAGTATTGTTTAAATCCCGACTCCAAACCAGTATCAGGTACCCACAAAGAAACATAAATTGGGCTTAAAGTCATCTTAACTTCTGCCTACAGTTTGTCAAGTCCCTTGTGTGCTAAATCGTGACTGCCTCAAATTTTGAACTGAACTCATAAAATCATACCGTAAGCTATGCACTACTCGACTTTTACTCGTAATAGCTGTCCTGTCGCTTTTTTATACGAGGCCTGTTTGCGTTTGGTCAGATGCCAGGTTGGTAGTGTCATTTTGATTTTTAACCAGTAGTGGTTGTATCATAATTTCCAGGGTTCCGTTTTGCAGTTGATTCAGTAAGATTAGTCAAACTTTAAAGTTAGGTATCACCCAATAGAAAAGGGTTTACAATTGGCCGTTTCGTGTCTGTTCCAATTAACCTAATAACCCGCAAACCTGACAAAGTTATCCTTGAGAGTTGCTAGCTTCTGTGCGAAAGCTGCACCTGGGAGATCTGGACTGACAGGCCCCGTTGTTCGTGGCCCGTCAAAGGAAAACAAAAGCCTGGAAAGCTGAGCCACTGGTTTACCAATTCACCCCGTTTTTGTGCAGGGTGGCGCACTTCGTGAAAGTTGTAACAGTTCACTAAACGGCGCGTGACACTATGCAATCGGTCGGTCCACAGGGGGATTGCTTTATTGTACCGCTTCAACTTTGTGGCCCACGAGTAATGACATGTGACAAGCCTTACACAACTCAAAAATGGGGCCGTTTTAAGAACGTTAACAGACTGGGGCCTCGAGAGAATCGTGTTTCAAAACACGATGGCCTCCAGTGTTCGCCGGGCGGTTTCTCTTTACTAGGCCTACTATTAGCTTTCGTACGCTGTTCCTCAGTCTACAGACTCACTTCCAAATTGTCAATCAATGTTGCTAGGCATCACTGATTAATTTTCTTTAAGACACAATCATGACACACGAAGAACCCCCCCCCCAAAAAAATGTAATTTCATTGTGCACTTAACAGGTTGCTTGTCAGCAAATATTGGATGTACAGCTTGTACTCACAATGTCTCAATTCTGTCATGTTTTGCCCCAGGGGCGCGCTGCAAGAATGACAAGGACTGCGGCGAGGGCATGTGCTGCGCCAAACAGCACGGCGAATCGGTCTGCAAGGCCCGGCTACCCCTCAACGCCAAGTGCTACGTGCCAGCTGGGGGCATGGAGTACACAATCGACAGCATCTGCCCCTGTATGGAAGGCCTGACGTGTAGAAGAACACCACAAGTGAGGAGAGAGTAAGTCAGACAAAAAGACAAACAATCCCCAGAGTTGTAATGACTCGAGTCAATGACTCGACTCGAGTCGCATTTTTGGGTGACTCGACTCGACTCCCCTCCCTGGAGATAAATGACTTGACTCGACTCTCTGCTGTAAAATGACTCGACTCGAGTCACAAAAATCAGTGACTCGTAACAACTCTGACAATCCCACAAACTAACGTACACAAACATAAGCAATATCAAGTGAAACCCACGTAGATAAAGCAGACATGATTGAATCTACCATCATCAAGTGTTTCAGACATCCCACACTTTCCTGTCGCCATCCCGCGACTCACCCTCTAAACCACGCCCAGAGTGCATGGTCCGTGATAGTTTTTTTGTACGTGGGGAATCGACTTTGTTCCCCCACACCAGCTTTGTCAAAGAGGCCATAAATGGAACAGAATGTCCATAGATTTATTACTCCTCTTATAATCAATGCTAATTTATGCTTATTTTCTTCCAGGGAGGAGCTTGTTTGGCAGTTTTGGACTGACTACGATCACATGAGGTGCACACCCATTCGTCCCTTACCCGGACAATGATGACATCACAAGAAACCATACGTCTGTTTGTCAAATTAAAAGAAAGTCTTTAAAAAATTATTTTGTATATACCCATAAAACTATGTGTATATTTAGTTTAACAGTTTTGGACAGAGGATTAACTTCAAAAGTTAAATATTGTGTTTTGTTCTCCTTTGTCTTGCTAATGCTAATGTATCAAAGTATCCCAAATTGCATCTCCTCTTTAATGTTCAAGAAATCTTGAAGCCCGGGGTATTTTGAGATAAAACAGCCAACTTGACTCATGGTTTTTAGCTTTCTGTTTTGGTTTGGGCAAATATATGACAAAATTTATAACTTACTAAAATTATGAATTAACATCATTGTACATGGTTGCAAATGCACACTATGCTATTATAATAATTTTGATGTTCATGCTATGTTGACATTCTATCATTCGCCAAAAATATGAAGTTGTGAATCCAGAAATAAAACCTGAGTACCTGGGACTGTGTTCTCGAAATGCTGGCACAATATTTCTAGGTTTAAAGTCCAATCAGGGTTCATAAGTATGATTGCATTAGAAAAGCTTTGCTGGGCTGTCCTGTCTCATGCTGTAGCCACTTGGGCGAGGAAATCTATGAAAACCTATTCAAAAAGAACTTTTCAGTGGGATGGTTTTCAAAACACAGCTCAAGTGGACGTCTGCTGAATGGCGCGCAGAACACTGAAGGGACGGATCATTAATTGCTTGTGGCTAGACCTGTAAAAAGTAGCAGTGAATTACGGTCCAGCTGATGGATAAGTAAATGGCAAAAACCAGTGAAAACCATGAAAGGTTTTCGCTCGTTTAGTCGCTTTACCAAGGCCCACATAAACAAAAATGCCAAAGAATATTTCAATAAGAAGCAACAAGTCTATCACCACAACCTTTTATTGCTTTGCTGCAGGAAAGCGCTATATTTATCATTTATGAAACCTGTTCCAAAATATAAAAATTAATCACAGTGCTCTATAGTAGACAGTACATTTCTTTAATTGGATAGCTTACACAATCACACTGTTACTTTTGGAAAGATCACAGAGCAAGATTTAAGACAAAGCAAATTATGCAGACATCGGCAAAAGTTGGGAGAAGCCTTTATGATACACAGAACACGTGTAATGATTTCGCGGCTTTTCATACGTCTAACTCCTAGTATCCAGCCATGATGATCTTGGCCAGGTACCCGACAACAAAGGGATCACTTTCCCATATCACTGGCACCCTGGCGGCATGAAATCAAATGCAAACATTTTTGACCTCGCTGGTGTCAAGCAAAGATCTTATAGCGGCGCAAGATAGAGAACTTCACAGCGACGTAAAATATTGCAATCGCAAGGGTGCATTTAGGTTGGACGCCTGCACAGTGCATATAATAGGCGCAGGTGACACAGACACGCACATGTTAACGCAACGCCTATGCATGCACTCTCCAATGGCGCGCGCCGCGATAATACCTTTTGGGCCGAGTTCCCCATCTTGCGGGGCTATATCGGTACTATCTTTGGTGACAGGTACGGAACAGGAAAAACTTATCAAAGAGCCGGCTCGCAAAGTGTGCATGTCATCTGGCACCTCGAGAATTGATCACAGATTCTCTTTTAATACGGAACCTTTACATATTTTAGACGAGAGCGAGTGTACATTTATTGTTTTTGTTCAATATCAAGAGATTAAACAGCTTCTCCCCAAGGAAACCAGGAAGAGGCTCTATACTTTTGCAGTCACTACTACAATTTGCTTCCGCATTTATTTGTATAATCATACATATTACTACTACCTTTCTAGCTATCAAATAATGGAAAAGGATGCTATTACAATGCTACTGCATCACGTGGTTAATGCATAATAAAAACACAGACACCCAGCAGCATACCAACTCACCATGCCCGATGAAGATTGATACATTTGAGCCAAAGAGGGCGCCCTGTTTCCTAGCAACGTCGGTCATACGTCAGTGGATGAGAGCCACGTCACTTCGGGAAGCACAAGTGTACATGTGTTCGCGCGCCAGAGAACAGCTAAGCTACCTGACATCATTTTAAAACGTAGAAACTCGCAATAGAATTTATCAACCTCAAGCAATTTTCGGAAACAGTGGAAGTAACTAGAAGTGCGAGGGCAAACGCGGGATGTTTCTGGCAATAGGGTGACTGAATAAAGCAAGCAAACTGGGTAAGTAACGAGGTCCTTTGTGTTGGTATTTTTCCCCTTTTGTGTGATACATTCCAACTTTAGTGCCGAGCAAGATTATTACAAATGCCAACAGAACCATATGCTTCTATCTTTACGGAGTTTTCGTATTTTATTTTTTCATAAGTAGTGCAGAAGGAGGTCGACCACATTTCATGCGTGTCCCATTTTCTCTTTTCCATCGGCAGCAAAAATGTGCAGTAGTCGTGACAACTATGATTGTCACTAGGCTGATCTTTGAAAGCACTTACAGGCAAGGTGCTGTTGTCTGGGGTGCTGGTCCCCAACAAAAAATGCTTGCAAAACAAAATTGCACATAAAAGTTGGTATCCCAAGTGTGTCTGCTGTCTTGACTGAAATCCAATTTACTTCAAAAACTTCAATATATCCAAAAATGCATACAGAAATGGCTACACCCAACTTTGTTTCTAACAGGTGTGAATGACGATTTTCTTAATGTTTCACTTTGAATACACCAACTGGGTCAATGCTTCCTGTGTTCAACTCCATGATAGTGAAATATGAGTAAACTTTAAACTTCAAGTAGTTTCCTGAATGGCAAGTCAGATGATATATTCCAATGCATGTAGAACATTTTGTAATGGGTTCAATAATATCTAGCATTTGGGGGAAAATTTAACAACCTTTGCCAAAAAAACAAGCTTCTCCAGGTTCATCCCATAAACTGTATATAAATCCAACCATCAAAAAACTAACAACTTAAAAAACCAACAAAAGTAAAGTGCCACCTTGTGATTACACAATACAGCATTACACTACATTGATTAAGGTTAAACACCTTCTCTCAGTTTAATTTGTCAATGCTTTTCTGCTCGTGGTGTGCAACTACTTCTGGCAACGCCCAGATGCAGTGTCGCACGTGTATCCATGCGGGCAACAGTGGATGCCATCGGAGCAGCACACAGCCTACGAGGAGCGAAGAAAAAAAAAGGGTCAGTTAGGCTCATTCAAGACTGGTATTCCCCGTATGTAGGGCCAGCCCTCTACCAGTAAGAGATACTGACAGTTTCGTGTAGAATCAGCAACCACTTGTCAATTACTGGTCGATGTTTGCCTGGTACCAAAGGATATTTTTGTGTACAGGTTACCAAGGAAAAAAATTGACAAAAGCTCACTGATTAGACTTAGCTAGGTGTGAGCCCTGTTAGCATATGCAGGGCATCAGTCAGGACCTCATAATACGGCATTTTGTACGAGAGTGACTGCATTTGTGGAAAAGTCTTACATTGGGAAGAGGGCAGCAGCCCCACTGTCTACTGGCCAGCTTGCAGCAGGTGTTGCCGTCCGGACAAAAGTGGCTGCTGTCGCACTTAACATTCCCTTCCTTGGTGCCCAGAGGCAGGGCCAGTGTCTTAGTAATCCAAGGCACAGTCTCCACCTACAAGAGAGATCAGTCAGAAAAAATGAGGACTTATAACCAAAACAACAGCACTCACATACTAAGTGGCTTTCCACAGTGCATCCAACAATATGGGGTAATGATCAGTTTACATTGTGCAAGAGCCACAACTGGGAATTAAGCTCTTTGTTAATGCATCAATAACAAAATACACAGTGGTTCTGGGGCTAGTTTCACAGAGCTACGAAGCAAAGACTCTGCTAAGTGAGGAGAACCTGTGCTAAACAAAAGCTTGTTACTAGCCAAAATGTCTTGTGTCCTGTATTTCTTGTCATTGGTTCCTAGTTTATCTTTACTTTGCCAAGTCGAACTTCTGTCAAGTTCTTTGAAATTAAGCCTTTCTGAGAACAAGAGCACTTCTGATTCTTATCAGATTGAAACCAAGGTTTGCGATGTGGTCCTACAAATTTCATGCTGCTCCAACTCCGGATAACACCAGACTTGAGGAGCCAGTCCCTCTTTCTTCCCTTTCTGTTCTTTATAAACTAACCTTGGGTGCCATTTCCTTGGCTTTGGTCTTGGTCACCATCGAAAGGATGCCGGCCGCACCAACACAGGTGTTCTCCTTGGTGCACTTGGTACCATGGGGACAGCAGTGGATTTTGTCTGGACAACAGACAGCCTACAGGGAAAAAAAAAAGCGAAATGATTGTGAAGCTACATGTGGGTCTAGGTCTTTGCTGGTTGCAAATTCACATATGTCGAGAGCAGGTGAAGCCATACCAGTAGAATCCTAATTTGGGCAAGGCCTAAAAGAGTTGCAATCTAGCTACGTCCGACTCAAAAGGGAGTCACGCACTGTAGGTGATGCCTTGTAGTAAATACCTAACACTGAAAGGCAGAAAATGATACTGCTTAAAGGTTTACAATTTGGCCACGGGGGGATCAATTGGAAGATGCAGCAAAGCAGAAGTAGTTTACACAGCAACACTTGCAAGCCCGATGTCCACGGTAGTTTGTCTATGGCCACCTTTCCCGGGCAAACCTCATCCTCATTTTACAGCGAGCACACCAATCGGGGAAACAGACTTACATTCACGCCAGGGCAGCACCCCCAGCCACCCTTTGCCATCATGCAGCAGGTCTCCGTGCTTCGGCAGATGGAGGAGCTGTTGGGGCATATAATGCCGCCATTACTAGGCTGCAGTCAAAAGAGAGAAACCGAGAAAAAGTTAACCAAGGAGTACTTGGGTGCCCCTTTGGATGCCATCCTCTCCCCCAAAACACACACGTCTTGCAGTTGTGAGGACATCCACGATGAACAACATTTAGTCAGGGATAAATATGTATAGACATACGAAGACCTGCACGATTTGGTCACAATGGCTCCTAATGATAAAAATGTGGCCTGCAATTCATTCCTGCCAAGGTCGAGATGAGAAACGCTCCTGCCAATGAACAGGACACACCACTCATATGCTGTTTCTCATCACGTGATTCCACGTCTGGGCTTTATACTGCCCCAGCTGCCTGTTGGAACTATCGAATTCAGTTGAGGGCAGGAACCAGACTACTTGGCTATGGTTATTAACCACAGTTTTGTCTCCTGAGGTGTGTCGTACATGTGTAATTTCTAGGCATGAACGAATGAATAGTGCACGTATATCCATGAGATGAAGGAGCCCTGAAGGAAGGCCCTCCTCTGCTTATGCACGGAGACCATGGATGGAGTGCACAAAGGCACTGACAAGCATACTAAGCATGATTAAAAGCATGGGCTCTGCAAGAGGAAGAAACCGATTAGCCAAAAAAACATTAATTGGTAGATCCTGCATGAAAATGTGGCTACATGTTGCTACCGGTTGGAGCAAGATAGCTGGATATCTGTTGATGACGGTAATACGCCGATGTTCTGATAGATTCAGATGAGTCCAACAAAACCTGTAGAGATAAAGGCCAGTGGCTGAGAAATGCTAAACCTGTACTGGCTGCTTACTACACCAACAAATTAAAAGGCATTGCCTCAATCAACTGCAAATTATTCTGAGAACAAGATCAAAGTGGTTCTGAACCATGACACAAAAAGTCAAATCACATTTATGAAGAATTAAAGGCGATGCTGCAAAGACTGGAAACTCTTGAGCCTACATTTTAGCACACAACCCACTGTTTGTTCAGTAACTTTAAAAGGAAAAACAGCAGTGATTTTGACACAAAAATAAGGGTTGAACTGCTGGCGTCTTCAATGAAAAATGACGAACAAAACAAAAGCAATGGGGAGGAGAGTTATGAGGAGCAGAACATTTCAAATTTGTTGAGAAGCTGTGAGGTGATGGCTTATGATCCAACAGACAGTTGGTCAGTTACGAGTGCAGCGGCTGTCTTCTCAAACCATGGAAGAGTCATCTCTCCTAGGGAACAGGTTCCTGTGGAAATGTCACAGGTGTAGCCGTGGGGACAACAATGGATGTGGTCACTGCAGCACACAGCCTGAAGAATAAAAATAGAGAAGCAATGTTAATTTCAGTTGATGACACAACACTAAGAGATTCTTCACAAAAGAGGTAAAATTCATTACATTTTTTTCCTCAAGTTCTTTCCTCACCAGGGGAAGAGGGCAGCATCCCCACTGTCCAGAGGCTAGTCTGCAGCAGGTGTTGCCAGATGGACACTGAGCCTGACCACCAGGACATACGATGTTTGGTTCTGGCACTGCAGGATCACTTAGTAAAGCAGCCTCCTTCTTTGGTTCCCACGGTAGAGATAAATCATGGAGGTGACATGTTGCTGTTGAAATGTCACACGAGTAGCCATGTGGGCAACAGTGAATATGGTCAGCACAGCAAACAGCCTGCAAGTGTAACAAGAATACAAAAGTCTGACTCTCTCTGTAAAGGGTTCAGCTGATATCAACACGTCAGACACTTTAGATCAGGACTTTAGAAAGCTTAAACATATTATACTATGGTAAAGATTTTACTAACCAATGGATATGGGCAGCAGCCGTAAGCACCAGTATTTAACTTGCAGCAGGTGGATCCTGTAGGACATTGATATCTCCCTCCAGGACATACAATGTTGGGGACTGGTACAGAGTCACTGCTTAAGAATGTGGCTTCTGTCTTCTCAAACCAAGGGAGAGTCATCTCTCCAAGTGAACAGGTTCCAGTGGAAATATCACAAGTGTAGCCATGGGGACAGCAATGGATGTGATCACTGCAGCACACAGCCTGAAGAAAACACACACAAGCAATATTTGAATAGGTACAGTGAGTTGTTTGTTGTACTTGTCAAGTAATGAATTATTCATAAGGGATACGCTGATAACTTACTTTTTCTTACAAGTTCTCTTCCAACTTCAAACTCAGAATCACCAATTTATCTCCCATTTTGGGGTATGTCATGTACAAATTAGATATTGACTTGAAAATGCAAGAGATGTAGAAGGTACTGCTTAGCTTAATTACTTCATTTGATTTGTTCTTGGAGTGTAACTTCTGTCTGAAGTTTTAGAAGCTTCTCTAAAGTTGAATGACTTTGGAATACCATGCGTGCACTGCTCAGTGTAACATACACTACAGCAAAGACAGTGCAGTGTACACAACTTTTGAAGATTACTCTTGACAGAGATAAGATTTGTTTTTGAAGAGGATAATTTACTAACTGAGGGGAGTGGGCAGCATCCCCACTGCCCAGA